GGTCTTTCAGCAAAATCCACACAGATATATGTTTCAATATGAACCTTAAAGGCATTGTGCTTTTAAAAAGATCATAATTGCCCCTTGGGCGGAAAAATATCGTTTTATTCGATTTCATTATTTTGACCAGCGACTGATTTACCACGATGCAACGCAATCAGTTCCATGTCTGCATGCATAAACAATTTGTTCCTTATCTCCATGCTTAAACAATTAACTTCATGCCTTCGTGCATAAATAACTAGCTTCCTGTGTGCCTCCAGCCAGATAAGCTAGAGCTTAAGGTTTATACCATCACGTATTGCTCTCCACTGTCACAACAGTCGCCACTAATTCACGACAGTCTTGATGTCCTTCTCCTGATATAAAGCATCTGCAAAATATAAGAGAAAATAACTATAAATCAATTCCATCTTATTTATCCACTACAAAGATGTGTTTTACTTTTACAATTACACACCTGAACTACACTCACAAATAGATATCTACATTAATAAACAAATTCATATCAATGTCACAAACATAAAAAATCCATACATCATTGCTCTGAGCAGGGGCCAGTTTTTAAGTCACGGGTATCCCGTTGCTCAAGTACACACCCAAGTGACCACCACCCAAACGACACGTCACCGACACACAGTGTGTGTCTGACCTCACAGACAAGTTTTGTACCTTTCCATACTGAAGAGTGGACGCGCCCATATTTAAAATTGGAACTGGAAATCAAAGGCTCAATTTTGAAGCATTTCATAACGATACATAGCAATCGAAACCGACAACTGGAAGATCTACTCCACGCGCTGGGGGTCAATTTGCTTTTTACCCGTTCTGCTGTGAACTTATATTACGGAACACAATTTTTTTAAGCGGAAAAGGAAACCAGTGACTCAGTTTTGGAAATTCTTTTACTGATACATAAGCCTAGCGATCGAAATTTGTAATCGATTGTTGATCTATATTCTTACGTTCAAGATAATAAAAATCAGGCTACTGTCAGGATACGTATTGTATCTCTCATGGTGAAGATTATTATCAAAGCAGGGAAGATCACATCCGACTTTCTTTTCCCGATGACCACTTGCTGATGTAAACTCTGCTGTCTCAGAATGAATGTGCCTGAATTTGCCAATTCTGTTCATTCCCTCCATCATGCCGAGTCGTACCATCATAGAGTGAGTCTTCAACTCTAGGCCTAAACATACGATACAAATCGGCAAAGTCACGGAAAACACACGAGAGTTCTATTTACAGCTCACAAAACGTACCAAGTTTGTCACAGGTCTTTCACTTGATGCACTTTCTGTTTACTTACTCTCTCATCCTCTGTTACCGTTAGGCGTAGAGGGGAGCGGAGATGTATTTTACTGTGGTAGGCCAGCTCTGCAGCTGTTTCAATTGGGATATTATAACTTCACAGGGTTTCCTTGACTACCTCAATCCATCTTTTGCGTGCTCTACTTTTTCCTTTACAGCCAGAGTAGTTGATGTTATAGGATCTCAGGGGAAAAGGAACGGGTAAAACATGGCGAGCGAAACCCACCTTTCTGCTATTTAGATTTAGTTTTGGTGATAGTTATTTAAATAATTAGTTTTAATAGTATATTTACATTGCAATGACCCCTCTATCTTTCACAGCTTTCGGTACGGGTATCCAAGACCCCAACAAATGGCAGGTCGGCCCAAAGATCGTGGGCCAGTCCATGGACACAGTCTTCTTCCGGGTTGGGGACAGAATGACCCCTGTTGTGTTGGAGTGTGAGGCTACGGGGAACCCCGCACCTTCTTACAGATGGATCCGTCGGAAAGTCGGCGACAAGTAGGTTCACCGGGGCAGATGCGGGGTCGAGGGGGAGGACAGAAGGGGGAGGGAGAGGAGGGAGAGGAGGGGGGAATGGAAAGAGAAGGGGTTGAAGCATGGTTGAAGTCAAAGCTGGAGGTGGGGATGGGGGGATGGCGGTGGTGTTGAGGGAGGGTGAAGGGGTGAGAGTGTGGAACGGCGGAAAGTGTGTATGTTGGGATTGGGGGATACACAAGTAAGCGTATTCTTAAGAGAGGGACTGGTAGGTGGGTGAATGTACCTAAAAAGACACATACATGAGTGGGTGCAAGAGAAAAATACAGCATACAGACAGATAGACAGGCAGACGGGCAGACAAAGAGGCAGACAGACAGACAAGTACATAATACGTACACACATACGTGCAAAAAAATAGCATACAGACAGATAGACACACACACACACACACGCAACTCACACACACATGCACACAGACACACAGACACACACACACACACACACGCACACTCACACACACCCACCCACACACACAC